AGTCTCTGGGTGGGTTTGAGCCTCCAACCTTTTGGTTAACAGCCAAGTGCTTAACGTTTGTGCCACCAAGGCTCCTTTCAACAAAATAATGGGTGCCAAAAGAGACAGGAAAGTAACTGTCAATCCAGAATTCTGCATTCAGCTAAGTTATTATTCAAAAGTGTAACATAAAATTTTGAGACAAAGGCCTTTTAGCTCATTGGTGAAGTTATCTCCGAGGTTGACTGTTCAGCCTGGGAGTGGACAGCCCCGTAAAACCAAATGGGACTAATGAGGTCCAGTAGTCCAGTGACAAGGGCCAGAAGGCAGAAGAGGACAAGGAAGCTGGTGATAGGGAACCCAAGGTTGAGTAAGGATATTGTTGATATGAGATTGTTAACCATTGTCATAGGGCAATGTGTAGTAACTGTTAAATGAGAAACTATTTTGTTCTGTAAGCCTTCATCATAAGTGAGAATAGCAGCACAATTGAAAGAGCATAGTCAATGTCACTGAACTGTGCATGTAGAAATTTTTGAAATGGTGTATCTTTGGCTATGTGTATTTTCACCAAAAAAAAAAGGTTGAGAAGTTAGAGGGTTGACATGTTGTGGGGTTGTTAACCAATGTCATAAAACAATATGTGTACTACTGTTTCATGAGAAACTTTGTTCTGTAAGCCTTCACCTGAAGTACAATAAAAAAAAAATTTTTTTTTGAGACAAAGACAAACTGAATTCACCATTCAGAGATTTTTGCTGAAACAATTCCTGGAAGAAAACAACCCAGAAGGAAGAAGAAAGATGCAAGAAGCAACAAAGTAAAGAAATTGATAAAACATGTTGGTAAACCTAAATAAGCACTGTTTATAAAAGGAAAAATACAGACTCTTTAAGTCATTAAATACAGAAGTGACTTAACTTGGTGAATTTGGGAATATCTTAGCCTCTTTTTCACTTTTCTTGGGAGCCTGTACATGTTCTAGTCTCTTCCTCCTTGATACAAGTTCTATAGGGGCAGGCTCCAACGTACACTAATACAACTAAGGTATATTACTGTGACTGTTGTTGTGTGCCGTTGAGTCAATTCTGATACCTAGCAACCCTATATGACAGAATAGAACTGTCCCATAGAGTTTCCTAAGCTGTGATCTTTATGGAAGCAGATTGCCACATCTTTCTCCCATGGAGTGGCTGGTGGGTTCAAACCAGCCACTTTCAGTTAGCAGGCAAGCGCTAAAACATCACATCGCAAGTTTCTTTATCGATGTTATTAGTAAAAAAGCTTATATTTTTTATCTCCATCTGCCTACTCTTCTATCTCAATTGTTTGAAAATTCAGGCAGCTAAAATGGTATCTAGAAGGAAATTTACAACTTCAAATGTATGTATTTGAAAACTGAAAAGAGCTAGGTGTTGAACTCTGGAAATTAGAAAAAGAACAGAGTAAACAAAATTACAGGAGGAAATAAGAGCAGATGAAATAGAAAACAAAGACACACAATGAAAAGGACAAGAAAACCAAAAGCAGGTTCTTTTAACGAACTACTAGTAATAGGAGCCAAGGAAAAGGAGAATAATTTATTCAAATAAATATTTATTTATTCAAAAAAATTCAAAAATAAAAATATTCAAATATTTTATTCAAATAAATAAAAAGAAAAATTCAAATAAACAATATTAAGAATGGAAAAGATGGACATATAGCTACAGAAGTTAATTTTAAAGTCAGAAATGAATACTATAAATTTTATGCCAACAGATTTGAAAACTTAGATGAAATGGTAAATTTTCTATAAAAAATATAAATAACCAATATTGATTCAAGAAATAATAAAAAATATAAATACACTATAAACATTAAATAAATTTAATCGGTGATCATAAATTTACTGATAAATTTCCAGGTCAAGATGGTTTACAGGCTTGTCTTACCAAAACTTAACCAGAGAAAAGAAAAAAAGAGAAACCTTCTCAACTTCTTCTATGAGGTTGTTGTTGTTAGGTGCCGTCAAGTCTGTTCCAGCTCATAGCAACCCTCCGCACAATGGAATGAAACACTGCCCTGTCCTGCGCCATCTTCATGTTCATTGTTATGCTTGAGCCCATTGTTGCAGCCACTGTGTCAATCCGTCTTGTTGAGGATCTTCCTCTTTTTCACTGACCCTGTGCTTTACCAAGCATGGTGTCCTTCTCCAGGGACTGATCCCTCTTGATAACATGTCCACACTATATGAGACGAAGTCTTGCCATCCTTGCTTCTAAGGAGCATTCTGGCTGTACTTCTTCCAAGACAAATTTGTTCGTTCTTTTGGCAGTCCATGGTATATTCTAGCCTAGTATATTACAGCCTCTATGAGGCTAGTATAACCTTAATACCAAAACTCAACAGAGAGTAAAGAAAGGAAAATCAAACCCAATCTCACTTATAGATTCAAAATTCCTAAATAAAATAATCACAAGCCAAATTCCATGTATCCAAGAACAAAACTACCATGACCTAGTTGACTTTATCCCAGGAAAATAGGGATATTCGAAAATAATATTACTCACCACATTAACAGAATAAAGGATGGGAAAAAACTTCAATAAATGCTGAATAACATTTGTTAAACTTCAGTATCTACTTATAAGAAAAACTCTTAGCAAACTAGAAATAGAAGATAATTTTGTTAGCCTTATTACATCATAACGGAAGCATTTTCTTTAATGTTAGGGACAAGATAAGGATACTCATCACTACTGCTTATATTCAACATTGTACTGGACAGCTTAGATAACATAATAAATAGAGAAAAAATAAGAGATATAAGAATTAAAAATGAAGAAAAAATTAGTTATTACCCAGGCCATATGATTCTATACACAAAAAAAAATCCAAGAAACTACAAATATAAGAGTACAACAAGGTTGCTGGATACATGATTAATATACACAAATCAGTATTCCTATATTCTAGTAACAGATAAACATATACCAAAAACCCAAACCTGTGAGTAGATTGTGACTCATAGTGACCCTATAGGACAGAGTAGAACTGCTCCATAGGGTTTCCAATCTTTAGGGATGCTGACTGCCACATCTTTCTCCCTCGGAGCGGCTGGTGGGTTCCACAGATAAGTTTTATTGCCCTTTCGGTGTGTCAGGCACTGTTGCTATGCTTACATTACCATATTTAACCATAAAATCAGCCCAGTAGGTGTCTTTGTCATCATTTTAACAGATTCTTAACCTAGGTTTTGGGGAGTTAAGTAACTTAACCGAAGATCACACAGCTAATAAGTTAGGAGAGCCTAGGACTACAATCCAAGTCTGTGTGACCCCCAAAGCCCATCATGCTTTTAACCACTAGCTACTCTCACTACCTCCTACTGATTTTAAGGAATACGATGACCTCCCTGCTTTTGACCACAACTGTTTCTTTATACTTTGATATTTAAAGCGGTTTATTATAGAAAAATCATTCTCACACCCTCAAGTTTTACAGACAAGAAACTTGGATAAATGGCCCCAAAAGAGTTTCAAGACATTCTAGAATAAATCTAGATGGTAGTGGCCGAAAAGGATAATGGCTGAAGCCGCAAGTAAGAAGAGGCGTTATAAGCCGTGAGCCGCCCAGCAGGACTGAGGCTGAGCTGGACCCCGTGTTCTGATGGGGGCGCAGGACCCAATCCCGCTCTCTTCGCGCACTGCCTGCTGGGAGGTCAAGTCCTACCGGGCCTGAGAAGCCGGCGTCGACCTGTGGAGACCGCGTGTCTTGTGTGTTGGTGAAATGGAGGCACAGGAGAAGAGAGGTGTGATCCCCTAATGTGGAGACACCAGTGAATGCTGTACATTCCATTTTCCTCAGTATTTCCTTTTAAAAATGGATTTCGTGTTCTTCGTAGTGACAGCAGCAGGAGCTCTAGCCACATTTGCTGCTGCTGCTATTACAGCATTGGTAGTAGTAAAAAGTCTAAGTTCTTTTAAGAAATGGATATCTACAGAGAACAACGAGGGCACTAAAGAATCTGGTAAAAATCCCACGTCTATTTTCAAGACAGCAACAAATATGGAACAAGAAGCGCAAAAGGAAACACACGAAGAATTGGGCAAGAAGGAACAAGACACGCAAACTTCGTAAGTGTAAAATATAACTTGGTTTAATTTTTAGCACACAGGGCAACACAAAGCTCATCAAATGAAGAAGACGGCCCGAATCACACCAGCCTCCTTTTCTGCGGGCCGAAGGGCAGTGGCTGGAGCCAAGGTGGGTTGGTGCCATCGTGATACGAAAAGTTAAAGTCACTTTCCTGTAAAACTGGTTTTTAGAGGTAAGGGTCAGTGAAGGAGACTGCATCTTTTAGAATGGTGTAAAGGAGGAAACAGGAGGCGAAATTCGTCAGTGTGTTCCTGTTCCTTGACAGAAGTTTGGCTTTTGATGTTTCAAGCCCTGGAAGGAAAAAAAAAACCCTAAAATTCTTTCAAATCGGCTTTCACACAACAGACTGCAGCTTGTGAAGCGATAAGGACTTCTTTCCTAAGGGATCGGAGGCGCCCCTTGGGGGCGGACGCGCGGCACAATGGCGGCCACCTCACAGAGCCGGGCGCGGCGGGGACGGGGCGGCGGGGCCGCGTGCCCAGACTGCAGAGCGCGCCGGGCGGCACATGGGCCCCTCGGGGCGGCGAGGCCGGGGGTGGGTGAGCAGGCGGTGAGCAGGCGGCAGGCGGGCCCCTCCAAGAGGACGAGGCGAGGCGGTGGCGCCGGCTCAGGGCCTGCCGTGCTGTGCGCCTGACTTTGCGCAGCGCTCAGCAGTGCCCTCCTGCAGTGGCATGCCGCTCGTTGCCAAAACGACAAAACAGGGTGCTTCAAAACACAGTCGTCAGCCCGCCTGGCCTGGCGGCCGCCTCTCCCCTAGCCCAGCCGCCGTGCGCCCAGCTGCCACGGGATGGCGACCGAGCCAACCCCGCTTCCCCTCCTCTCCGCTCTGCTCCTCCCCTGCTCCGCCTTCCCCTCCCTCCTACCCCCTCACCGGCCTAGCTGCCTCCATTTTCCAGATCTTTCTCGAACCCGCGGCTCTACGGGCAGCCGTTGCCCGAGTGCTGACGGAAGCGGCCGAAACTGAGGCCGGGAGCAGCTTCGGGCCGGGAGGGATGGCTCGCGCGCCTCCCCGGCTGCTGACTGCGCAGGCGCAGATCACAGTAACTGCCGGTTAGAGGCCGCCGAGCCGCAGTGGGAGAGACCCAGGCGTCGGGACCCGGCAGAGGCTGCGGCGCGGCCGGACTCTCCCCGCTCCCCGGTTCCCCGACGCCCTGCCCTAGATTTTTCTGCGTACCGACCTCGCGTCATCCCTCCTTTGCTTCTCGTAGGAGTCGCAGTCCCAGCAGCAACAACTCGGAAGAGGACGCGGTCCCCACACCGGAGGCTTCAGCACCAGCACCCCGTTCATCAGGCGGCGGGATGTCTGTGGTTGGCATCGACCTCGGCTTTCTCAACTGCTACATCGCGGTAGCAAGGAGTGGCGGCATCGAGACCATCGCCAATGAGTACAGCGACAGATGTACCCCGTAAGTGCCTCTCCTGGTCGTAACCCCGACCCTAAGAAACATTTTCTCCAGACCCTCCCGGCTGCCCCGCCTGCCGGTTTCCTCTGATGTCCCTCTGGTGCGCGTCGAGCGCTGAGATGACAGGTGCAGCCCATCAGCTGCAGTCTCTGGAGACCGCTGGTTGGCGGGCCTAGGTGGGAGTCGGACTAACTCGCCCCGCAAAGCTGCTTTTCCTTCAAGGGCGAGGGACTTAACTCTGATAGTCCGCGCATCTGTCCATCTGTGCCCACACTACCTCCCGCGCCGCTGTCCCCCGGCTCCCTAGCTTTAGGTTGCGGGAGAGGAGTTGGTGAGGGACTGCCTCGGCGTCCCGAGCATTGGAGAAAGGTCCGCGGTTGCTGCTGCTGGGGCTTGCGTCGGGTCCTCGGCCGCGGGCCCCCGTGCCGCGCTGTCTTAGGGAAGAATTCTTCATTCATTCCGCCCTTCCTCTTTTCCCCATCTCTCTGGATCCCAGGTTTCTCTCAGAAGAGTGAGAAGTGAAAACTTAGACTTAATGTCAGAAGATGAGTTGCAGGTTCATCTGGCCCCGAAAGCCATTTGTGAGGGCGGGTGGCGGGAGGGTGGTGGACAGGGTTTTACCCCAGTGTCCTTGAGAACTCGAGGTAATGAGACCGGTTTCCAGGGGCGTAGGCTAATGCTGCTTTTTCATTAATAGGGCGAGAATCGGGGATGGGAGACTTTGGTCTTATGTATTGGTAATGTTCATAAAAGAAAGCCATGGGGTGAAAACAAACAAACAAAAAAAACCAAAAGCGTATTTTTTCAGAATGAATTGTTAGAGAGTCGAGGCGACTGCCCTGTATTAACATGACTGTGGAATGGGTCTGTTATGAACACTTGATGAAAGACTTGGAAGAGGTGGCATTAGGTCATGGAAACATGTTCCCACATGTTGCATTGTTTTCTGGTCTGGGAAGTTTGTTGGCAAAGAATATAATCAAGACTGGGGTATTAAAAATCTAGCTTCTTATTGTAGGCTTTTGTTACCAATGGGGAAACCAGCTGTTTATGTATTACTTTCTATGGAAAGGTATTATACTAATGTGACCCTTCGGAATGGTCGAAAATGTAACACTTGTATTTAAATGGACTAATCTTAGCCGAGATTATTACTAAGCTAAGCCTTTTAAAGTCTAAATTACTACAGTTTTACAGATAATTTAAATTCTGGGTTGTGAGGCTGTTTTTAAAATATGGCAAGAGGGTGTTGAAGAGTAGATGACTTAAAGTGGTCTGTGCTTTGGTTTCTTTCAAAGAATATTCTAGAAGGTTTTATGCCACCTTTTCTGAATATATACATTGTATTTCTTGTTGAAATTTTGAATGTTTGTTCCTAAAATAGGTCAGGTACTCCTCACAGTACTGTAAGAACTCTTGCTTCTCCCTTTTGCATCCTTTTCTGGCTTTTATATACAATCAGAGGCAGAAGCTATAATCGCAGACTATTTCTGAATTCATCTCTACAAGATTTTAAGAGCACATCTAAGCCATGACAAACACCTGCTTCTGCCACGGAAGGACCAGCAAATCCACCTGCCTCTTTCAGCAGAGTAGAGGTTGATGAGGGCATTCTTTGCCTTCAGGGACTTATTAACTCATGGAAAAATGTGAGAAGTGGGGTGGACATTCTCCTGATCTTTAAAGCCTTATCCTTAAAGATGAGAAACCAGAAATATAAAAAAAAAAGATACCACATCTCCAGGCTCAGAAATCTCTTTACTATAGAGTCCATGACTCTTTAAAGAGCCTGGCCAGACTTGCAGAGTCCCTTAAAAAGTAGGCTGCTCATTTGAGTTTTCTAGAAGTCTCTTTGTTACCAGTCTTAGGCACATTAGGCTAATTCTGTGTGGCTGAGATTTGATATTTCTGATTTGTGTATGAGAAAGCCAATACTGATTTTTAGATTTAATAAGCCTGATCCAAACTAGAAAATTCCAAAGGTGGAAGGATCATATTATCAGTTTGCTTACATAGCAACTCTACTCTTCTCTCTGTTGATTACATAGTACATAGAGCTATGCACTGCTGTTTATCTCAGGAATATATCTTTTGATATTACTGAACTAATACTTCATTGTAGTCCAGTGTTCTTACACTGTGTGTGTACTTTTTGTGAGGCTCAAATTATTGTGAGAAAACAGCCCTTTCTGATCCCAGAACATTTATTCATTGACATTTATATGAGTGCCTATCATGAAAAAGGCCTAACTATTAGATGACCAGACGACCTTTAACTTTTGTCATATACTACAGTATTTAATAATACATGATATAAACCAGCTTTTAAATTTTTTTCCATATTCCAGTTGCTGACATCAAGGTAATATGACAGAGGTATTTCTAAGATGCAAATACAACATGAAGAGATTGTAGGGGAAGAAGGAAGTGTTCTGTTTAGTTGATTCTAACACCCATACTTTTCATTTTTCTTTCATGTACACATGAGAAGGTCCCATGTATAAACAAAGAAAAACAGTTTAATGAAGAAGAGAATTAAGTTTTGGCTTACAATCAAGGGCAAGTAATTTAGCCTGTTCTTCAAATTCACCATCTATAAAATTGGGAGTGCTTATACTAGCCTATCCTCATCTCATGCATAAGTTGAAGATGAAGAAAGAAATTAACATCATGCATAAATTGAAGAAGGAAAAAAATCAACAATTTTTATTAGCATTGTCTTATTTTTTAAAAAATTACTACACAAATAATGCATGCTCATTGTACAAAATACAGATACATTAAAAGATGAAAATAAAAATCATAATTCCTGCATCCAGAAATGAAACTTCCAGGTGGTTTCTATGTATGTGTTTTCAAGGGGAAGAGAGTAGATTATGTTGTCTGATAACCTCTTTATGTAAAACATGTTTCTGTACTGTCAGTTTTATTTAGTGCTTGTATAACCATTATCTTTGTTTAATCCATTTCCTATTGGACATTCAGGTTGTTTATGATATTTTGTTATTATAAACAGTGCTACAGTAACTATCTTTGTAACTACATTTTTGATCCTTAATTCCTTCAAATAAATCCCTAGAAGTAGAATTATTGAGTGTGCACATTTTTAAGGTCTTGGACATGTTTGTATTGTTGAATTAAGTATAGATGTGAGGATTAGAATTTCCATTCCAGGTTTAAATATATCAAGGTGATTAGTTTCAGGCATAGGAAAAGAAAACTGCAGCCAAAACTCCTAATTCAATATCAAATTAAAGTTTGTGGTCAACTATATAACATGTTGCTTACGTTGACAGTAGTGATTGTTATGTGCCAAGCACTATGCTTGCACTGTCACACTTAACCACAACAGTTCTGTGAGTTAGGGAATACTAGTTATCTTTTATCCGTAGGAAGCCTAAAGCAAAGTTAAGTAACTTTGCCAAGAATTAATAAGTAATGAAGTGGATTCAGTTTCAGGCCTTTCTGACTCCAGAACCCCAGTGTCTTTCCATTATCTATTGGTATAGAGATGGTATATACATGCTAGTTTGATAGGGCTGTAACAATCAAAGGGACAAATAACCTGGCTGGGCAATTATTGTACAGGGAAGTATCTTTGCTTTGACATCAATAAGCTCATTTATTTTCAGCCAGTTTCTAAGAAATACCGTGTTTTAAAATGTTGTTTTAATATACTTTTAGGTTATTTTAAGAATAAGTAAAAATTCTTTAAATACACACACACACAAACACACACACAAACATGTTAGTTTCCCCCCTGTGAAAGCAGCATGGAAGACTATACTTTTAACAGTGAATGTTTCTTGGAAGTAGAATTATGGAGGGGTACCTTTAATATAGTTTTATAATGTTTTAAATTTTTATGAACATATTTTACAATGAGGAAACATTGATTTTTAAATGAAGCTGTTTCAAGAGATTTTAATTAAGTGTATTGCTGGTTTTATTATCAAAATTATGTATGATCAGTCTTAATATTCAGTTCTGATTATCTGAGTTTATCATGTTTGTTTCTTCATAAGTGTATGAATAATCTGAAATAGGGGAAAGTACTATTTATACACTACTTTGCAGAAATATGAGGTATCCTCCTCAGTGCACAAAAGTAGAAATTATTTACTTTGAGAAATTAAAAATAACTGTACATAGACAATGCCAAACTTCAGAGGTTAACAGTGGTTGTAGCTGGGTAGGAGGACTTTTTATGGTGATGGCAGTTTATGGGGAGGAGAAGACTTTTAGGTTTTCTGTCAAATAGTCTTCATACTGTATGAGTTGGTTTTGTTTGTGTTACTGTGAGCTTATATTAACTTTGATTTAAAATATTTTAAATGCTGAATAATTACACAAAGAAGTAACCCCCCCTTCTCCCTTCTCAGCTGCCTCCTAAAGCTTACTGTGTATGCTTCTAGTTTTATACAAGTATGTGAATGTATGTATTCAGCCTCAATGTTTTTCTTTGTTTCATAAAAATGGAGTTACAATATACATATTTTGAAAATTGTTTTTTTCGCCTCAGAATATAAACACCTTCTCAAATCTGTACATATGTCTCTTAATTTACCTCATTCTTTTTAATGACTGTACAGTATTCTATTGGTGGATAAACTATTAATCAACATTTCAACTTTTTTGCTATTTACAAACAAGAATTCAGTGAACACCTTTGCTTTTTTTTTTTTTTTTTTTAGTCAAATTATGCTGAGGTGAGTGAAAGGGCAGATGGCTGGCACTTTGCCGTGGCTAGAGCTAGGACTATAAAAAGTGTTTTAGTACATTATCTTCAACAAAACAATATGAATCTACAGTCATGTCTTTAAATCTGTGAGTGAGAAATTTTGAAAAGTTTTTAAAAAGCAAGGAACAATGAATACAAATTAGTAATATGTAATGTCTTATGAGCTTAAGATGTTTAACATGCCATTAATAATCTTTTTACAGTTTCATGGGACATCCCAGTTAATTGACCGAATAAAGTGTTTAGTGCTTCTGTTCTACTT